TGCAATAAATATTTATGTACTTTTCGTGAACAAATTTTATTTTATAGTATATTATATTTTCTTGATCTGAAATACAAGCTAGGCTGTTGCAGCCCTTTGTGTGCTCTTTTCTTTCTATTTGCAGCTGGGCGCATCTAGATTGATATGCATGAAAACTTCCCTATAAAAGAGCCTCATCTAATGCTACATCCACACGCAATAGCCTGGCAATATTTATAGCCAAACATGATGCATATAAGGCCGAACGAACTCTTCAATCGCTTCAGCTGGGGCAGGCAGAAGTGCAGCCACTAATGACTTTTGATGTCATATTTATCTAGCGACGGGCTCCATTTGCGCAACTCTTATTGCTGGAGAGCTATAATTAATCTCAAGTGTTTAATTCTACTTAAAGTAAACGGCAAACTTTTGGCGTGGCTTAAATAAACAAGAAAAGTCAGAGCGAACGCTATTTGCATTGTATGGAGGTGAGTTCCAAGTTCCAAGTTCCGAGCTCCGAGCTCTGAGTTCTGAGTAAGTGCTTCAACTCGCATCAAGCTGGCGCTCCCCACAGACACCGCCGACTTGGCCCTCTCGCAGCTGAGGCGCCGCGCCGTTTGATGTTCTATGGCCCGGGCGCATCTTTCTGCATCTTGATGTTTGTGGCAAAAGTCATCCAGTTGTCCATAATGTTAATTTCGCGTTATTCTTTTCAATTTGAGCAGACATCTGCGCCGCAGACAGTGCCTAAGACCAGGATGTTCATATGCAGATTATGCCCAAAGAGTTGTGAAAGAGCCCGTGCCGCCCCCATTTCGGTGGCGCCTCCTGCGTCTTTCATGCGATGCAAGACATGCCCGAAATTCATAGAAAACTCTGCGCATTTTAATTTCCCCCAACCACACCCCCACTGCCCAAAGGACGTGCGGGACGTGGCACAGAATTGAAAGAGTTTTTTTCTTTCTTTTTTTTTTTGTACCTCATGATGCACTTTCAAGACGGCAGGCAGGAGGCGGACGGCAGACGAGGACGACTAACGGCTGGGGTTAAGTGTAAAAATAATGGCTTGCCACTGCAAGAAAAATGGTAAGCAAAAGTTTTTAACTACGTGCCGAGGCAGTCAGGCAGTAAGCCAGCCGGGCAACCGGTAAGCCGGGCAGCCGGGCAGCCAGGATTCACTTTGGCTTTAGAAATGCTTTTGGCCCAGTTTGCAACACGTTTGTTTCAAATTCAGCTGCCATCTATGCGTTCGTGAATAGTTTTTGGACAGCGCGTGGCAGCATCTAATGGCCACGCCCCCGTCCACTCTAGCGCCCCCTGCTGCCAAAGACAATGCCAGCTAAGGCATGTGGACGATTTTCATGGCAGCAAAGAATTTGATTATGCAACAATAAATCTTTGGTTCATTTGGCAAGAGCTCTGGCAAATGATGTTCGCAGCGTATGCACCTGTGTGGTATTTGGGGCGCCAGTGCAGTGCAGTGGGCGAGGCTTAGTGGGCGGCTCACGTGAAATTAGCATGGGAAAATATTTGTCAAAGATTTGCGCAAAATTATGCGCAGTGTTTGCGCAAAAATACACGAGCCGAAACTTTTCACAATTTTAATTTAAATTTTTCCACCGAGTTTGCTCGCACACACACACACACACACACATGGCTATACAGGTGTGTGTGTGTGTGTGAGTGTTTGTGTGGCCAGAAAAGTTTGCTGACTGAAAATATTTGGGAGGGAAAACAAAAATGATGTTGCATCACAGACTAAAGCGCTTCAAAAATTTTGCAAATTTCCAAACTTGTTTGCCAAGTTTCGCCTCATGCAGGGAAAGTCAAAGTGAGAGAGACAGAGAGAGAGAGAGAGAGAGAGGGCTAGAGAGTCAGAGAGAGAGAGAGAGAGTGAGCGAGAAGATAATTTTTGTTTTTAGTATTTTTATCCTTGTTTTGATAAGCTATTTACATAAGCTGATGTGCGAGCACAGGCATGTTATATGAGCCAAGTTTGCGTTAGCGGCCGAAAGAAAAACAGTTTTGGAGTCAGAGTAAGCCGGGTCAGTCGTCACTCGTTGTCCTTGTTTGAATGTGCCGAAATTGCTGGGCCGCTCGCCAAGTCAGCAGCCTGAAATGTGCGACGGATTAACGCACAACAAATGCCAGTCGAGTGTGTGTGTGTGTGTGTGTGTGTATAGGTAGTGGTTCGAGCAATTCTAATCGCTGCCTCGCAGCGGGTTTGGCATTGCAAACGGCACAGCCTGGCCGAGCCGGGCCAATGATGACCAGGCGGTGGTTCGATGGTTCGGCGGGTGGGTGGGTGGTTGGTTGACTTTCAGCTGCCAGTGTTTGGTGGTGAGTGGTGTACAATTACGTCGCATAAGCAATGCGTTTTTTATGGCGCTAGCGATTATGGGCCGACAACAACAATAGCAGCAATAACAACAGCAGATAAGCCAACCGGGCGTATACTTGACGTTTGATGCCGGCCATAAATAAGTTCGTACTGCAGACCAAGTACATAGAGGAAGAACACATACATATGTATACATATATTTGTGTATACACATGTGTGTGCGTGTGTGTGTGTATAAGAAAACAAACAAAGTGAAAAGCCTTCAGATTTGCATTGGAGTCACAGCGGCAATATTTCAGACATATAATATTATGTAACAAGATATTTCCTGACGATATTTAAATTGAATTAAGCGCATATTCTTTATATACTATGTATACATATATGTATTTATATGCTCATGTCAGAGAAAGTACTTACCCAAAAAAAAAGAAAGAAAAATCACACACACGCACAGTTATTTTATTGCCATCTATTGGTTGGAGGGAGACAGACTTTTATATGCGCTCACTGAAAGAGAAGAAAAGGGAGACATTGAAATTGACTTTGGGGATTAGTTAAAGAGTATATAAGGGCATACAGTATTAAAGTTAACAGATAGAGAAAGAGAGAGAGAGAGACAGAGGAACAAAAACTGATTTAAGCATAGACAGAGATGTTTTTTTTTTTTTTATAATCAGAATAATGTTTTACTTGCTATTTTTTTAATTTTCAATCTTTTTTGAATTATTAAAATTGATAAAATATGATAAGAATATAAAATAATTATTACTCATGAATTTTCATATAAAGATCGTATTTCCATAACTGTACGGGATGTGATATTATTTATATGCTGTTCTCATCA